CAGGAAAGAGAGAAAGTAATGGAAGAAAATTATGAAAAAGGAAAGAGAGAGAGCTCAAGTATGAACGTTAAGTGGTATCAGTAAGGTAAGTTTCGTCACGATCGTTTTTATCAAGTGCACTGGTGAAATCTCAATGCCAGATCACTGCTTGTTTTTCACCCGTTAAACACTTATTCAGGCGAGGATAGTCAATGCCTACCTCGTTTATCACGTTATTTTAACTCAAAGTCCGATATTGAAGCCGTGATCGGTGATGACGTCAATATAAACGAGTTTCGTCAAGGATTCAATTTCTCAATCCATTTAACTGAAGAAAAAAAAAGGAATATTAGAAATAATCTTTTGTATTACTCGAGTGTTAAAGTGTTTACGGTGTGGGTTTTTCCTGATTCTCACCAATTAGTCAAAACAATAGAATGGGTACGAGAGGACGTTAGCAAGGACGCCAGATCATGTGTTGAAGGAGAGGAGACGCGGACATGCCTGCTCACGAACCCTTGTTGACGCCACTGTCCTACACACACACACACACACACACACACACACACACACACACACACACACACACACTATTATAGTTAAACTAATATTTATAATAGAAAAATAACTGATAAGCATAATTAAACAAATATATAAAGAAAGACGAACAATTATAAAAATAATAAATCCAAACAATTTAATATATCGTAAAAAAGTACAATCATATAATTATTAGTAAATTATACCGGGGCAATGAATTTAAATACTGACTAGAAATCCAGAAATCCGTCAGACACGTATTTTTTTTTCTGGAGGTTGGAGGTGTGCCACTCGCTACTTGGCACCATGGTGTAGTAGTGTCGTCACGGCTAATTAGAGGAGTGGGAAGTAATGCCCGGTAACTGGGAATAGATATTGCGGTCTCTTATAGTTTTGGCGGGAGGAAGAGCTTGTTAGGCTTCGGGCGGTTCCGATTCGTTTAGTATTTCCTGGTGCTCTCTCTCTATCTCTCTTGGGAGCCCTCATAGAAATTATAACATAATAATTCACGAATGTATTCAATAATTAATAGCTCTCGGAATCTTCATCTCCATTTCCCCGAGAAAATATTATATATGTTTTTCTTTCTTCTATTTTCAGTCCATTTCACTTAAAACTTTTGTCTGAAGGAAATATGCAATTATTATTCCTTCTATAAAACTCCATAGTGTTTTTTTTTTTTACAGTAATGGAGAGTTTAATTTAAGAATATAATTAAGTTTTATATAAGAATATAATTTACATATTTATAGCCATTTTTCGTGTCACATAAACTGTCATCACCAAATAAGCTTCATTTTATGTGATCGTCTTGGAAGTTTATTTTTGTGTTAGTTAAGACTTTTTTTATTGGTGGGGGTGATTTTATCTTGATTTATACCCTGTGATTAACTTAGTTTTTATTTCTGGTGCTCTGTACATGCTATCTGATAACCTTTTTAAAAGTAGATTTATTTTTTGGATGTACGACTGTCCTTATTTTGTGTGTGTGGTGTACGACTATTGCCTGGTGTGTTAACTGACATTATACACAAAACAGCAACAACAGGTTAACTTGGCTGATGTATTACTCTTATATCTGGATGAGTAGATACAACTTTCATTCAGCAGTCAATTTTTCCGAGATGTAAAAGTTTGACATTTTTGTGGTGTGAAGAGCAACCCGGATGTGACGTCACGGAGTGTGCTGCCTGGGGGTGAAGGAGAGGTACAGCGTGACCCAATGATTACTGAGTACAATTTCTTCCTTTTTTTTTTAAACAAGTGAATGACGTTTGGATTTCCATTCACGAACATTTCATTTACACTTTTTTTTAAATTAAATAATGACAGAAATTTATAGATAGAAATTACACGTTTCGAGCCGCACAAAGTTAGACACAGTTTCAGTAGAAGTCTGTTTATATCTGATGAGTCATTCCAAATGTTGATGAAAATGCGAGAAGTGCGACGGGAAGAATGGCAGCGCTTAGTTCCGGCGTTGTCTCTGTCACTGAGTACAATACTGCTCCAGGGTGGTTAATGGTCATTACAGATCCGGCATCTTCGTGGTGTAGATTATTATAGTATTTTCTCTTCTGCTTTTAATTTCTTTCTACTCTTATTTTTTCGCCCCCAGGCCTCGTTGTTTGCATTTTGTGGTGATTGTCGTGTTGTAGTATGTATACTCACGTCATGCCTTCTTCATCAGTGCATATGTCCCATGCAGAGGATGGCATCAAGGAGGCCTTTTATGCTAACCTTGATAGAGTGCTAACCTCTAACCCCAGAGAAGATAAGGTTGTGCTTCTTGGTGACTTCAATGCCAAAGTTGGCAGAGATGCTGACATTTGGCAGGGAATCATAGAGAGAAATGGACTAGGCAGGTGTAGTCCCAATGGCCTACTCCTCAGTAAATGTGCTGCACACAACCTCACTATCACCAATACCTTGTTTAGGCAGGCTGACAAGTTCAAGGGTTTGTGGCAACACCCACGATTCAAGCACTGGCATCTCATTGATTACATTATTGTCAGAGAAAGCGATCGCTGAGATGTCCTCATCACCCGAGCAATGCGTGGCTCAGACCACTGTGACACTGATCATCGACTCATCAGATCCAAGCTCTCACTTCACGTCGCCCCAAAACAGCAAAGACAACATGCCTCCAGAAGAGGTTTTAACACTAAGCATCTGGAGGATCCAACGGTAGCACATGCTTTCAGATAGCAGCTTGAACATGGGCTGATAAACAACCCAACAACAAACAACCCAGATCCCAGATCCCAGATCCCAGATCCCAGATCCCAGTGCCGAATGGAGTATTCTCGAAACTGTCTTGACAAAAACGCTTGGCCAGATCGAAAGAATACACCAGGACTGGTTTGATGAAAATGACCCGGAAATCAATGTACACGTTGATGATAAACATGCTGCTTTAACTGACTGGCTCAACAACCCACAGTCTCGGACCAAAGCTCCCACAAGAAGAAAGAGGCAGCCCAGCGCGAACTTCGCAATCTAAAGAACGACTGGTTTAAAAATAAAGCATGTGGACCACAAAAACTTGCAGATCAACACAAGATGCACAAATTTTTCAATTCCACTAAAACATTTTATGGGCCAATCATTCATGACGCAGCCCCCCTTCCGCTCATCCGATGACTCCATAGTTAGGGCAAACCTGAAAAAGTGCCAAATCGACCCCTTCACAAGGGAGACGATTGCTCCACACTGTAACTGTAACGCTTGGAGGAACACCACACGAGAAGGTGTTAATACTTCCGAGTTAGCCCGACTGTAGACAGAGGCAGACAAGCACCCACGCCGGAAAGACGCTGTCAGGCTCCCACATTAGATGTAGCCCCCCCACATGTGCAACATCTGAACGACCCTGCCGGTCCTATATCGGCCTCTCGAGTCACCTCAGAGCTCACCAACGAAGGTGACATCCTGAATAACTCATAATTTTATCATAGCTGGATGATCGTCATACTCGATTTCGAGTGACAGCAAAGTAGTAGTAGTATATTAAAAGATAACTGGAGGAACATTTAGAAATACAACAAAGTAAAAAGAATAAAAGTATTGTGAACAGTGAATTTTGGTGCAAGAGGTGAAATAGGACACGATAATGTTTAGTCACGGCCAAAGTGGTGTCGTTGCGCCTTTCACTCGCATTTTTGTTGTTCATTTTGAGTGTTCGAGCAGTCAGCAGCAGCTGACGTCGTGTGGACCAAGGTAGGTAGATACCTACCTTGGTGTGGACGGTGTGGTGTGGTTGTAAATAATGGTTGATTCTTCACCGTCTATCACGCAGCGTGAAATTTTCACGCTTATATATATATATATATATATATATATATATATATATATATATATATATATATATATATATATATATATATATATATATATATATATATATATATATATATATATATATATATATATATATATATATATATATAATACTATATATATATATATATATATATATATATATATATATATATATATATATATATATATATATATATATATATATATATATATATATATATATATATATATATATATATATATATATATATATATTACTGTAATTAGATGTGGCAAGCCACATGGGTCATTCAAGCCAATATTGTCTGCGGTTTTTCATTCACAGTATTGTACAGTCATGCATTATTGGTCTGGTGGATGTGTTGGATAATTACAGTGTTCTTAAATTCAGTCTTGGTATGGATTTTAATTTACTTTACCTAACTCATAATTGAGTGTTGCCATATGAATTTAATCGCCGAGATTTTTTTTTTTTTTTTTTACTATTGTAGTTCTTTAATTTAGCATCGATAAATTTGACAGTACACTGTAGTTTATTGACAGACTATGGGCTTACAGTGACTACAGTACGGTACTGCACTGTGGTTTTATTGCACAGAGACCAAATTTTGTTTAAAAAAAGAAAAGACTACAATGAACTTACAAGAATAGTGTTAACATGTACAGTATTGTACTGTACATGTGTACGATTGGGACTGATTATTGCTGACGGTGTGAGAAATTATGATTGTTTGTGTAGATGGTTGTTTGGTTGGTCCATTTTGTCTCGTATGGACAGAAGCTCTTATATTTCTTTCCCCGACACTAGATTGCATTTTTTTGCATTAAAATATTGGCCTAATGTTCTGGACAAAAACTCCCATCCAATAAAACACCACCTTGCATTTACAGTACAGTACTGTACACCTAAAAATTTTGGGTGTACAGCATTTTATTTAGAACTCAATGTAATACAAATATTTGATCTAACTGTCTTGGTTATTTATTTACTGTACATTATTTTAATGAAAAGCTAATACAGTATTTGTAAAGCAAGTAAATCCTCATGGACAGCTAAGGTCATAAATGATTTTCTTTATACTCTATACATTGCAGAACATTATGTATATCCCAGGTTCCCACCACACTAGTGTTGACCAGTTCCTTTTTCTCCTTTACAGTACGGGCGGGGAGCGTCATTTTTTTAGTGGGCGTGGGATCACTTGTGTGCTGGAAGCTATGGGAGCACTGGAGAAATGGTGCCGATGGCTCCTCCACGCCACCACCCACGCCCACGGCCTCACCACCAGCCCGTCGCCCACGGGGTATCCTCGCCTCACTTCTGGAGGAGGACCTGGTGCAGGACCCAGATGAATACGAGGATGAGGACCCCGCCTTCATCCAGGTGGGTTTTCCCTCAAACTCAGTGATACTAATACTAAATTATCTTGACCAATATTGTTCATGGTATCTGTTTTATCACCTACTTTACTTAAATATATAAGTTCTCCTGCCATCTTCACCCACTGACCATATTCATACAGTTCTTAATGAAGTCATCACCCATCTCTTCCTTCATTTTATCTTTCATCTACCAGTCAAAATAGTTTTCATAATAAATTTTTAATGGCATTGATTTGTCCCCCATTTAATCACTTAGATTATACGGACCCTATACACTACTGTATTTTGGTAATTGTCTTGTCTTAGGTAGAGCCACATTGAAAGTAAATGAAAATAAAAACTTGATTAATACAAAGGTGTAACCAAGAGGGAAGGCCCTTTAAAATGTATAAAATGTCCCCATAGTGAATCTTAATCTAATTATGGATCATCTTCAGCCATGGAACTGTATGAAATTTCCCTAACTAAAAGATTTCATTTACATCCCATGAGTGAAATCATTCCTAACCTCATTATGATGCTTGCAAATCTCTCTTGTTAGAATAATCGTGGCTATGCCGCTGAACTGATATTTGTATAAGGCATAATTAAAATGTGTAAACTACAGTATACAGTACTGTATTATAAGTTATGAAGTTCAACTTGTACTGTGTATGGAGATTATCTATAGGGGAGATTTAGAAAATCTTGGAATGAAACATTGGAGTACACTATCAACTTCTATGGTAAAAAATTAAACTTTCAGTTTGAATGTGGAGATTAAAAAATCTTCTTGCATGTGAAGGTTCAAACATTATTTTATATGTGAAGATTCAAAGATACAGGTACAGTAATCTTATAAATGAAGATTAGTTGATAATCTTATTTGAAACTTTAAAGTTAGTCTTGTATGTGAAGATTCATAGATCAACTTGTACAGTATATGAAGATTTAAAGATGTTTAATGTGAAGATTCAAAGTCAGGCTTCTCAGGATTTACAATAGTCTTACACCACAATATTATTATCATTCATATTAATCAGGTTTGTAAGTACTAAATTGGATCTCTGAGTGCGTTTTTCGTAGTACAGTACTATAAGATAATTTATATACACTAAATTGGTCAGAATAAGACACAAGTACTGTATTAATTGATCAGAAAAATAAAATTACCTGTACTGTTTGTATCAAAATTATAATGACACAAACATGAAGACATTATACTGTATTTATATTTGTTTTATGGGATGTTACAGCTTATGTTGGATTTAAGTCGACAATACATCGCGAAGCTGGTCGTGGTCAGTCGTGTGGTGATATACTTATTGCATTACTGTTCTCTCATACTAACACCCTTGTTTCCCCTTTCATAATCAGATAGTCCTTGATGTAACACTGTGTGTGTACATAAGGATGTGAAAGGGGCAAACACAGAATATTCAGATTTTTATTAACTTTTATATTAACTAGTCTGTACAGTATATTGTACCAATGTGTTTCTCAATGTTTTGTGGTTGAAACTGATTAACTGATGACTAAATCAATAGAGAAATATTTCAGTTAGTTGTGGTGTTGGTGAATATGCTACTAACTTACTGACTACACTACTGTACATGATGTGGGTAGATAGTACCTATAGTTACAAAGGTACAGTATCCTCATTTTATAGGCGTGCCAACTTATATAATATTTTCCGTAGAAAAATATTTAATTTCTTTTGATTAATATTCTATAAACAAAATAGATATTCGACTACTATTTGCTTTAAACACTTGCATAATGCTGAGCGTTGTTATGTCCGACTTAATCAGAAGTTAGTTTTTCCATGTTCAATAATTATGACCTGTTTGATGTTAGGAATACAGAACTGTACACAGATGCAGTGGCTTTTTTTATTTTATTTTATTGTTATTTATTTTGTTTTTGCATACAGAACTACAGTATACTCTTGAGCTTTTGTTCAATATATCTACTGCACTGTTTTATGATCAACTGTTGGGCAGTCAGAGCTAAGACCATTCCTTCACTTATTTTACTTTCATTTTTATTGATATTATTTTTTATTATTGTTTGACCAGTGCTGGTATTGTGCATTCCAGTTGTTACTCAGTTTCATGAACAAATATGGTATTTTATAAAGTACTGTATGATGACATGAAAATTAATATCTCTTGTAATTATTCTGAATCCTTTTTGTGAAAATACATTCCTCCAATTACTAAAAAAAAATGGCACAGACTTGTGACAGGCTATAAAACAATATTTTGAAAACATTTCTCAAGGATATTTCTGTTACAGGGGAAGTACTTTGGCCCTGACAGTCCAAGTGAAGAGGTCCCATGTGATGAAGGATCTGTACTGAGTTCTGACGTAAGTGAGGCCAGCAACAGCGAGGCACTCGCCCAACCTTATCATGCAGATGCTAGTGCCTCCTATTCTGTTGGAGATGGGGTGAGTTTACATGTAAGGAACATTGTGATGGAGGCTGTGTAGGAGGGAGGGCATAGAACTTTATGTAGATTATCATGTATTATGGGGACAAGGGAGGTAGATTCTGTTAATGGTTCAGTAACAGATTTAGTCTTAACAAGAAGTAGAAAGACAGCAAATGGGAGATACCGGTAAGTGTTTTAATGTTCTGTACTGTACTGTAAATGTTTACAGTACTGTATATTACTGGATGCTTCTAAAAGAAGAATAAAAAAAATCATTATAGGTACTGTACAGTTTTCTGTGTGTGAATGAATAGTTTTAGGTCTCAGTTATTGACTTACCTGAGTTTGTAGAGTAAATTAATAATAACTCTTTATTATTTTGTAAATTCTCTTTGACATATCCTGTTGCCTCTAATGGTGGATGTCCAAATTGTCTCCCTTTTTTGTATATTTATTTTAATTATTTATTTACATAGTGTCATCTACTGTACTAGAATAAGTTTGCTTTACTTTTCATGCAGGCTTCCTCTTCTGGTGAAGACAGTCTACCCACTGATGAGGATTCCGATGAAGAACTTCGCAATGGCAACAAGAGAGTTGTTAAGAGGAAGCACAAGGCCTCAGAGCTACATAAGAATCAGGTTTGTGTTTACCATTTACTGTACTATATGAGTTCTTTCATATCAGACCAATGAAGCATTTTGAGTACTGTACTTCTTCTGTTGCAGTGTTTATAGTAGCTTTTATATTGGCTTACCTATTTAACAGTTTCTCTCATTATTCAGAAAGTTAGCTCTTGATATTAACTAAATGTGTTTTAGTTTAGCAACTCTGCAATAAATACCCAGGTTATGTGGACCAAAGTTTAAGAAGTGAAAATTGAAAGTTTTAGGATCTTATGATTATATTTAAGTTTGAGATGTACATTAAGATTTAGAACATTAGTACAGACACATTTTTAATCATATACTATTGCCATATTGTAGGCTACTCCAAGACACTGCGTATCTAAACCCAGCGCTGTCCAGGTGGTGGTGGTTCCTCTCTCTAGTAGTGGAGGCAGGCAGAAAACTGAAGCCAAGTAAGTCATGTAATTTAATAATGCCATCGCTTTTTATTTATACATAAGCAATATAAGCACTTAGTCTCTCTATTTTTTCATTTCCAGTTTAAATTAGCTTTTATTTTGTACTTGATTAATGTTCAGAACACTTTATTGATATATATATACTGTATATATAATAAATTTATTAAAATAAATTTTAAATTAGACTGACTAAATTTAAACTTAAGAGAGAGTGCAGTATTGAGGAGAGTGGGGCTGTGTACGAATACCATACACTGTATTTATTGTCAGTCTTGATATCTTGGGACATGTTCGGTGTGTACCTATGTAAGCTCTGTGACCCACAATAGAAATCAAAAGATAATTTGTTTTTATACTGTGGTATTGGTAGATTTAAGTTTAATTGTTTGAAATGAATTGGTGCATAATGGTACAGTATTTGAAGATTTTTTTTATTTTTCATAGAGATGTCTTTTAGCATTTTTTTCTAGCATAAATTTATACTGTAGTGTATTTTGGTTATTTGTGTATAATTTGGTATTTTCTGTAATAGTAAGTACAATACAGTACTGTACTGTACTTGGTTCTTCCACCAGGAGGCATCCATCAACCAACCTCAATACAACTCCAGCCATGAATCATCCTCTTCAAGATGGGTGGCTTTCTTCCGAATCATCACCTGTTAATGCAGTATATTCCCTGCCTGGCCAGGCACCCCAACGAGACCTCAAACGCCTTCAGGGCGATGGATCGGAGACTCCCGACTCTGAGGAAATGGTAAATAGATGCCATTACTTAATTGAACCTATTTCATAATTTTGTTTTTCAAAATGTATTTCAGTACCATCAGTCATTACAGACATAAGTCATCATTCTTGTTCTCACCCCTTTGCATTTTTTGTTCTTTTAACATAATTTCATCATCACCACCATTTTGTGGTAATTTTCTAGAATCAACATCAAACTTTCCTCAGTTTAAGATACTGAATGTATACCACCATTAACCAACCAGGTCTCTCAGTGGGCTTATCAATTACAGCATCTTGTGGACAAAACTGAAAACAATAAGATGCTGGGTAAAGAGAAGATAGCTTTCAATTACCTCTTGCAGTTAATATTCAGCCGTTATATAAAAATGAATTCATTAAGTAAAATCTCCATTAGCCAGAATCCTTTGTAACCGGAACTCTCTGATATCCAGAACTGAAATTTTCCAAGGGGCACATTTTCTGGAAAATTTTGAGAAAATTTTCCCAGTACCCAGAAAATTCCGGGGATGGGGGTGTTTTTTCCGGGTTTGAGAGATGAAAATCAGGCGCATTTTCCAGAAATTCCGAGAGAATTTTTCCAGTGCCCGGAATATTCAGGGGATGGAGAAAATTTTTCCGGGTTTAAAAGATGAAATAATGCCTCATTCTGGAAACTTCTGAGAAAATTCAGGTACCCGGAAAATTCAAGAATGGGGGATTTTTTCCGTGTTTGAGAGAGTCGTCTCTACCCGGAAATCTCTCATTCCCGGCTAACACAGGTATCATTTACTTGTCATTTGTTAAATAGGAGTTTATTTTGATGTTTTGGTATATACCAATATGTTACTTGTATAGGAGTACAGTACAGTACAGTGCAGGTGTGTGTCCCTTCTCTGACATAGAATGTCATCTCTTCATGGATACTATGAAGTTGAAAAATCAGAGTTTTGTCATCATGTGAATTTGATCTGACCCACTCTGTAGTGTTGCTCTAGTTACTTAATGTCTTTATGGATGGAGCAGAGTAAAATAGAACTAAGGGTGAGTGGGTATTGGAGGCTGTAACTGTGACACAACAGCCTACTGTGATATGGAAAATTTTGTATTTGTTACCTGTGGATGATACTGTGGTGTTACTTAACTCTGAGGTAGAAGAAATTAGTTCATTTTGATAAAAATTTTCAGATTTTTAAAAATAAATACAGTACACTGGGAAGAGTTCTCTTTCTCTCACATAGAAATGCTGTGGATATAGCTATTTGTTAATGATGAATTGTATCATAAGGATTTTCCCTCCAAAGGCTGAGCTAAGAAAACGTCAGCAGCATGTTGCTCAACTTCAGTCTGGGGGACATGACGATGGGGCAGATTGGCTTCATGACAGTAGGTTAGTAGGACTCACTCGTATACTTTTCTTACATAGATATGTCTTGGCAATAAATAATGTGTGTTACTTTATATTGTTAAAAAAAAATTTCAGCAAATTTGTCATGCATTAATTTTTATTTTTTATTTTAAGGAACTTATTGGAAAAGAAATGCAGGTAAATTAGTGGTTACATTGTTTGACATTGTAGTTTATGTATTCAAAAGTCTTTCTCCCCATCTCAGGGCTCAACCTGAGGGAGAAGAGGAGCACCACCAGAGTTCAAACATCTCCAGCACTTCACTCAGTGACCTCATGGAAAAAATACGACATAGAGGTCACCGGGGATCAGTATCTCGTGATAATTCAATTGCTTCCAATTTATCAGAACTTGTCACCTCACCTTTAGGGTCCAAGAGATTTCCTTTCAAGCGAGAAGACTCTGTTTGCTCTAATTTATCTGACTTTGCTCCTTCTGAATGTTCAGAGATGTCCCTGGATGTTTCTGTACGAGAAGATTTGGCGTGCAAGACATTTACTTGCTTGGATGACATTGAGCAGGAGATAGATGACCTCAAGTCTTCTATGTTAGAAATGGATGAAGAAGTCACAAAGTTTTCATCAAGGCCAAACCCATACACCTTCAAGACCACCTTCTCTGACCACTCTGTTACTTCAGGGGATTCACGTCCCAACTCAGCCATGGGGATTGTTAACGCTCATCGTTCAAGGGCAAACTTCAAAGGACTCATAACAGCAAAGACCAATGGATCATCAGACTCTGAGGCTGTAGAAGCAAGTGGAGGTGAGCCATCACAACCAACCAGCCACGGAGTCTCAGGTTCAGAAGCTGAAGGCTCATATGAATGGGATTCCCCTCAACACGGCTGGTCTAGTGCTCGTGCTCCTCCTCTCTCACGACTGCCTGAACTTCCATCTGAAGATAATGAATCATTGCCTGCATCAGTGCAGGTAATGAGTTTGCATTTTTTGTAACTGAAATCATTATCGTTATAATTACTTTAATTACAACTTTGATAACATGAAAGCAACTTTTCCAAAAATTGATTTCCTCTTTTTCACATTATGAGTCACCAGTATATTCTACAGTACTGTATTTTTATTCATTAATTTTACCATTGTTATCCCAGGATGATCTGATGCCATCCTTGGAGTGGGATAACGGCTGTTTACGTCAGTATGCAGAAGCTACGACCTCGCAAGAAGATCAACTTGATGAAGTCTTCCACCCTGTATCTTGTGATAGGTAAATACATGATTAGGTTTTGTTGTCAAAATTTTAACTAACACATTGACCACACTTGATATTTGACAGCTTTTATTGATAGTATAGTATATCCAATGCTTCTGGCTACACTACTTTAAGCCTCCAACAATTACAATGCATTTCCAAAACTCTCCCAACACTACAACTTCTAAAGCACCTTTACCTATGAATTTTCTACCATTTACCTACATACCTGTTTTGTGTTACCTAAATGACATATTTTTTTACTCTGACAAGCCTGACACTTATTGTGTCTGTATTCTAGGTTGTTGGAAGAGAATCAATCGAATGTATATTGACTGTATCTTTACAAATGTGTATAACAATAGTACAGTATACCCTGTATAAGTCTTACTGAAACTGTGATATGGCAGTATGTTGTTTTAAACATGAGTTAATCTCTTCTCAACATGCAGCTTTGCAGAGCTTGGAGGCTTTGAAGAATATAAAGTAGCATGTAGAAGGTGAGCCATAGTGTTGTGTATGTGCCCCCTCATTTGATTTTTCAGTTATCTCGACTTGATTTTTGACCAAATATCTAAAATTCCTGCCCTCTTTATCTCTTTCATCTAATGTCTGTTTATAATTTATTAAAAAATTTTTTTACCAGTAACCTCCAGTTTCAGTTTTATGGAAACTTAGAGTATATTTTAAGTCCCCGGCCTTGTACAGTACAGTACTTGTTGTATGGGCTGGAGGTTTCCTGTATGATTCTTCTACTGGATATTAATTCAGTGATGTATATGAGGTCCTGTCACTAGTACCAGCTTGAAGTGGATGTCATTCTAACACTTGTCAATTAAGTTGGAGTTGATTGTTTTAGATGTCATACCATACGTCTTGTAGTTGCATAACAATGAATGACTTAAATACACCCTTTACAGGCAACAGCTGTTGCCAGATCATTCATCTCTGGAGTTGGACTTGGAGGAGGAACTAATGTCCACCACTGGGCCAGTAACAGAAGCACCTGACCTACATAATGCCCCAATGACCATCTCTATTGACTCAGCCATCCACTCTGGCACTGGGTCACGTTCTACCTCTTCCAGCCCACTTCCTCTTGGCTTGGGTCACTCTCTGCTCAGGTATGCCCCCAGGCTGCCATTCTCTCAGATGCATGTGCCAGACTCACTTAGTGGATCACATGTACATTGGGAGCCACTACTGCAGTCCACCCCTAGGATGAGTGTCTCACAGCCTAACCCTCAAGATTTAGTTAGCGGATCATGGAAGGCACAGCCAGGAAATAACACTTGGCCACGAGTTCGCAAGAGTACATGTAGACACGTTGAGACTCAAATTGGTGCGATGGTGATTGAAGAAAAGCTTGTCAATGATAGTTCACCCAGCTTTGATTCAGCAATGGAGCTGAGCTTGAGTGATAGATTAGTTGAAAGTTTTTCAGAAGTCTGGAGTCCGCAGTAGTGGAAGTGATAAAGTACAGTACAAATAATACTTTAGAATAAGAGGGAGAGAAGTAGTCATACTAACTGGATTGAGACTGAACTTACAGTAAATGATGCAGACCATGAATCACACCAAATAAGAGGCAGTTGTGAAGCAATTATGGTGCTAGATAGCCAAGTTGCTGCTTCGCTTACACAAGGAGATATTACTGCCGCTTACATCCAGGCTTCCCCAGGAGGTACCACCATAATTGTGTTTTTGCATGCCGGTACCAAGTATCACATCAGTTACTCACACTAGGTGCTTAGTTTTCATTCTGTTTGGCTAACTTTTTGCCACTTTACGGGTACAGTACAGTATATGCAATGAGTGAATTTCTTTTATTGTTTTAACTAAGTTTGCACTTTCAGCTTACAACTTTTCATTTCTCTACACCAGTAAACTAATTTGTTGCAGTGATGCTCTTGATAAAAATCTCTGTAGTTAATCTAGTTTTGATTCACTAATTTTAATTTTTTAATTTGTTTATTTATTTATTTTTTGCACCGATAAGCCAATGTCGAAGGATCAGGATTACCAGGGTTTAGACAGATACTGGAATTGCTCATCTATCATTATGGGTAAAGTTGGTGTCACTTATCATAGAAAAGGAATCTAATTTAAATACTGTGACCTAAAAAGACTCCCAGGGCAGAGGATGTTAAAGAGAGGCTGACGCATGGGGTGTTGGTAATAAAAAAAATTTTTCTTCTTTTTCATTGTTAATGATAAACCTCCAGAAGTTCATATGAACACTTTTACCTTTTAATGTCACATTAACCTGAACCCTCAGGTGCAAAGTACTCAATACCTGCTCCCTAAACTAATGCAAAAGAATAAATTAAGATGGTTAATCTATCCTGTTGGTGAAATGGTAGCCACATGACCTAGGATTTAACTCCTTTGATATGAGGGGTCTCTGTGTTGAATAGAATTGTCTGACATTAGCCAATAAAACATTGAAAGTGATATCCAATAGTGAACAGGTAAAATAGGTAAGATTCGAAGCTACACAACATATTATACAGTACGTACGGTACCTGTATTGGTGTAAGTGTATGAGATTTTTGATTCGAGTGTAGTGTATTATTTGGTCGCACAAGAATAAGCAGATGAATTATTTCAGTTAATAGAATCAGTTACCAGTTGTAATAAAAGAGAATTTTCTTTCCTTATTGAATGATATAAGAACTGTACAGGTATAACATTTATTTGTTGAGGCTACAGGTTACAGTTGTTTATAGACTGACTGCATAATATATCTTTTTCATGATATAAAGTAATACAGTACTGTACTTGTACATATACAGTACGTACATAAACAAAACAAAACATTGTTAACTACATGAATGGAATTCTAGAGTAAGTAAAAGTCATCAGTATTGTTGATCAGCTTTTATGAGAAATATGCATAAAAATAAAACTTTTTATCAAAAAATAATTAACAACCAATAACATTACAATATAAACTAAGCTAAGGAACATTTTAAGTGTTAAGTTCCACATTGAAAATAATAATGAACTACTGTATTGGAGGAAGCTGGACCATCACTGAATGTGATGTTTGTTCTAACCAGAATGTCTTGAGTTGAACATTGGTTATAACCTGCATACCAAATTCATTTTGGTTCATAAAGCATTTAAAAAAATTCTTAATGTGAAAATTTCCATTTTCAATGAATTAAAAGAGGTAAACCTGTGTGCTTCTGCACCTTGGAAGTGTAACAGATTGTCAAATGATTGAGGGGGGGGGGAACTACTGCAGGCTGAGAAAATAATGTTCATGTTCCTAAGTCACTAAAACTTCTTTCCTTGAAGGAAGGGTATGACAGTTACATTGATATACCATATGTTATGTGTAGTACAGTATGGTGTTGTGTGTTGAAATGCTGAGACTGAATGGTTTTGTGTGGTTTATCATGATAGCGCATATATGGTACTTTGGATGTTGAGGTAAATATTATCATACAGTAATTTAAAGTTTTAATTCAAGGATAGATAGCAGGAGGGAGAGGGGTAGACCAAGGAGAGGGAAGGATGGTGTGAGAGACATTAAAAGTGAGGAGAATGGACGTCGAAGAAGCAGTAGTGAATGTAAATTGTAGGAGAGCATGTCAGCAAGTAGTATACAGTACAGGGAACAGTAACCTGGCAGTTGTAAGACTGGATGAATGACAGCAAGGCTGAAAAAAATTCATTGCCCAGCTCATGCGAACATTATTTGTAATTTACCTGTTTAATATCAATCCACTGAATTCCATGTGCTTTGCTTACCAGATATAACCAGCTGGGGAAGAGGTAGTTGCCAAATGTCCATTATACCTCCATAATATTCCTAAAGTATTTCTTGTGCCCTGGGACCTGTTCAGTAATTTATTTGAAGCAAAGCCAAGGTTATCAGTTGTATTAAAGATGAGCCAACCAGATGATTGTGAAATATACCAGGAAATTTATGACTGGCAACTAAGGGCTGCCACGGGGGGTAACGAGCCCACAGACGAAAATAGACTTGTGTGGTGTGTGAAGTAGGAAGGCCAAAGCCAGCATGATTCTCTCAGTGGTTATAGAAAGTGCTCTTACATCTCTTGCTGAACATCTTTTACAAAGTGCCACTGATGTAGTTGTAGACTACTTACTGTGAGTTAGTAGTGTTTGTCATATTCATGTTCTAATAATCCTCACTAATGATGTGACAGCGACTGATATCAACTTAGAATTGTAAGTGCACTTCTGTTTATTTTGATGAATCTGCAAGTATTTTCTCATGTGAGGGGAATGGGAAGTGTCAACAGTTAAGTGAAGCCGAGATATTAGCAAACTTTGTTGTACTGTATTGTATATAGTTTTCATTGTGAAAAATTGTAAGGGTTTTTATATGTGAAATTTGACTATTTGTTGAACTTAAAAAGTGACAGAAACTTGTGTCAGAAAGGGTGCTGGTGGGAACACTTGGTGGGAGTTACGAAGAGTACCAAATGTTTAAGGTAAAAACTACAGAGAAAAAGAGAGAGGGAGAGTGTATACATGGGTTGTTTAAAGTATGTGATCCATGTGTGGAAAATACTATTACGTGTATGGAAATTTAAGACAACGAAAATAGAAACATCTGTTCTTTAAAGAAAGTCTGTTCAGTAATTTTAACTTTAGGATGACCAGAAATATCTAATTAAATTAAAATTGACAAAGATGTCGTTGAAAAGGTAGACCTCCAAGCCCTGGAATTATTAATATACTGTACTTATATTTTTTAATAAATATATCAAGTGTCAACCAGAACTGAGGAAGTTGACTGAATCGATTACAGTACCCTGTACTGTATTTACAAAATAAAAACAAAGATTAAGAAAGAAAAAAATATAAAATGTGCATGCTGTGATATATTTTGGTATTTGATATTTATTCTATCATTCATTTAGGTTGTCAGATCAGTTGTAAAGACAGTGGACACTACTACCTGCCATGGTTGAGACCAGAGGGTTGGTGGATAGTTGAGTTTGACGGATACTTGACATTAAAGCAGGTTAGGCAAGGGTATAGAATTATAGTATTAATTAGTTTGAACCTGTGTACAGTATAGTACCTGTATATGCGTATTATTGCACACAAAACCTTGCCTTATGAATAGGGTAAATACAAACTAGTGACAATAGTTTTATTTACTGTATACAAGTTGTATAATAGAAAGTGACCCTGTACAGTACTGTAAATGTATTAAGAAATTACCATAGTAACATTAAACAACTAGTAGATACAGCCCTTTAAGTGATGTTACATCGTTCAGCATCACCTGAGTGCAGCAGATCCACATCCCACAAAGACATACCTTGGTGCTGATTGACTGTGTCACACCAGAGTTACAATATTACATTATTGGTTCACATTAGTAACATAGACATTTACTTCATACATGGCAAATAATGATGCCTGGCTACATACAGGAATTTGGCAGATACTTAGAGTTCCTGGACTTTGATATGGTGGATATTTGACAGTTAAGGATAGCAGGTTAGTGGGTCGTCCACTGTGTGTTTGTATTTTTTTTTGAGAGGGTGGGGGGCTAAAATTAATTTACACTTTTCTGTGTATAATAGTGTATAGATGGTAGACCAAAAGACCTTAATATCCCTTAAGTACAGATCATAGATTGGGGAAATTTGTTTTAAATACTAATGTAAATACTGTTATAAGGTTTACTCCGTAGAAGAAAATTCCTTCAGTTATACTCTGGTCTTCTAACATGCAAAACATGAGTTTCAGTGCAGTGTGGGTTTGAGAAGCATTGCTATTACCTGTGGTGTATACAGAACTGGCCATTCTGTCACTAAACTTTCTTGCCAGGGGGTGATTACTTAACTAAGCTGGGAGGATCTCAATAAAGTTTTACATACTTCATCTTCACCAAACTTTGTGAGGAGGAAGAAGACCTGAAGGAAATACATAAGCCTTTGATTTTGAGTTTAAGAAAGACTTAAAGTGAGAGACTGCAGTGTGATATGTGCACGTGTGGTACTACTGTTACGATGTGGGAAGGAGAAGCACATCAAACATAGATAAAGAAATTCATTAATGCTTAAGAATAATTGGGGGTGTGGGTGTCACATAGTAATGGCAAAGATCATTCAATAGACTTCACAAAGAGGGCAAATAGAATTTACAAAATGTGTTAAGTATGGTTTTGCATAATCCAATTTGTATATTTTCCCCAAGAGTTTGAATTGTCAAATACAGTAAGTCCTCGCTTAACGTCGTGGTTCCCTTCCTGAAAATCGCGACGTTAACGGAATAAAATTTTCCCATAAGAATTAGATAAAATACGGGAGTTACGTTCCCCAGCCTCCCTTTGCCCCATAAAATATATTACATATACATAAATTCAATGGAATTTTTATAGAAAATAGTATATATTATACAGTACATCCAAAAATATAAATAAACTAAATTAATGTTGTATTGTGCTCATTGAGCGAATGTGTGGTGGGTAGTGGAGAGGAGGAGGGTGGCGAGTCACTGAGACCTGGAGGGTTGCTCCTCCTCCCGCTCTGACCGGGTGAGAGAGGGTGATGCGCTGTACTAATTAGTCTGTGAAGACGTTATACTGAATCGGCGGGACATTGTCCGAATCATGGGTATCTAAAGAGTAGTGACGTTATAATTAAACAACGTTGTTGGGGGCAACGTTAAACAAGGACTTCTTGTACTTTAATTATAATTTCCTTCACTTCCTTTCTCTGTCTGAATTATTATTTTTGTTCCTAGTAACTTTTTTACCTTGCATTTTGTTTAGTATATTAGTGAAGGCATAAAGGTGAACTGTAACACTATGCAGCATGTTCAACATTAACCACACATCACAACTGTATATTGTAGATCATGCTTTAAGTATTGTTGTTAGCAATTAATAATAAACTAATAAACCTTTAACAGTCAGCATTATACAGTACCTGCCATTCTTAATAAAAAAATTTGTTATTATTAGGAATTGTGATTTTAATGCAGGAGGCCACAGTACACTAGGATGCATTAATGGTACTGAAATATTGTTTTCCTTGTTTTATGATATAGTTAAGCAGTATACAGCATTTGATGTTCAGAATTTAGAAAACTAACATTAGAATTAGCAGGTAATCCTTCATATTTTGTCAGGTTTAATCAGTGGTATGATTCGTGGGCACTCCCAGTTCAACCAGCTGTTATTGAGTGCCTGAGTTTACAACTTGGGGAAGTGAATGCGGTTGAGTGCAGTACCGGCCATACTGCCTCCTTGTGTGCCGAATGCTTAGTATACAATACAGTGTGCTATATCCACCTTGTCCCCAACAGGCAGCCGTGCCTGGGACTCACATTAAAAATCTTATTTAGTCAAATTTAGTAGGTTAACCTTTTTGTTTAATCAGATTTAGCAAGTGAACCTTTTTATTGAGTAAAATTTCATTAGCAAACCATGTAGTGTCAGATTTAACAGGTGAATATCTTTATTGATTCAGATTTAGTAAGTGATCTTTCTTACAGAGAGCTAGATTTCATAGGTGAACCCTCTCTGTGAATCAGATTAGTTTTTGTTTTTAATTGTTGCCTTATTTCTTAACCATGGATCAGATTTAAACAAATAAACTTGGTTAATCAACCTTAATTACCAGTTTCTTGTTTTATCATTCTTAATTGCAAATGGCCATTGTCTTGTTTATAAGTAATTAGCCTGTGACACTTAACAAGCAGACAGTTAACCTTTCATAAATATTTGGAAGTCAGTTAACCATCAGAGAATCAGTTATGGTAACCTAAATTATAGGAGACTTGTCTAAACTGTTTTGAATATCAGATATGTACTGTTTATATTATTTAGCATGTCTTACCAGTTTTAATTATTGTATATATTTAATTATCATTTGCAATTATCAGTCTTAATACATGAAGATTTAAATGACTGGGCATATTTAAAAAGGATTTAGTAAATTAGTGAATCAGATAATTGGTGTCACTGGATTCTGTCTCAAGGAAAGCATGTTTAATCCCATGGCCAGGCTGGTGGTTGTTTTGTTTAATAGAGCAAACAGTGAGGCAATGACTTGTTGTGTCAGATCCCGAGACTTATGCTATATTGACAATACTACATTAAGAGTTCTCACCTTAAAAAAATATTGGAGATGAAATAAAACCTGTTATTTAATTATAATTTTTTTTTTCTCTCCAATAATCAGTTTTTCTATCAGGCTCTTAATTAAAAGGTATTATCATAGATGGCTATCAGACAACTGGCTTTAATTATCAAACAGCGAATTATCCAATTCTATTTCTCCATTTTTTTCTCTTTCAGTCTTTACTTTCTTAGTTCAATGTTGTTTATGAAAATTATAGGAGTTAGTTATATTACTGTACTTTTAATAAAATGTATGTACTGATCTAATTTGAAGAAATTGTTCCAAAGTACAGTAGCTAATTTATCTGTAGTACTGTATGTGAAATGATGCTGCTGGTGAAAGTTATACACTGAGAACACAGCTAGTCTGTGCCATGACCACAGCAAGTCAGTGAGATCCTAGGTGTGCTGTCCTACCCTCTTATGAGGAAGAGGCAGTGATCACCAGTACAGTACATAAAATACAAGGGCAGTGTATTATTGAATATTACCTGTACCACCACTTTAAAATTTTGCTCTGTTGTAAGGCTCATGCACTGTCATCATTAATATAAACCTACCTTTGATAATTTCCTGGTCGTCCATTTCCAAGATACCAGAAGTCAGTAATGGTCTGTCTTATAGTTCACCTGTGACAGTGACTACCCTTATAGATGACCTAATAAACATTGGATTATAACTATCGATGAATGTTCTTTAAACATCAGCTAAAAATAGGCATCAAAATTTCTAATTAACTGTTTTCCATTGGTAAATTCAGAATTGTGGTGATCATTGAAAGGCCACATTGGACTTGTCAACTTGATACATGTACTGACTGATTTCATTGTTAATTACTTGTGCAGTATATCACAGGCAGCACCATAATCAAAGACAAACACATGAAATATTTATTAGAATTTTTGTAGAATGTACTGCACCATAGGAGGCTGATTATTTGAGGAGGCAGGGGGCGAAATAACTGGTATTGCATCACATCTCTTGACACAAGACTCTAATAATCCAAAGCAAATGTTGAATCACACAGCAATGTTAGCAATTCAGTTATTCTTACATAGTATATTTTGCTCTTCATTTTCTATTTATTTTTTATTTATATTATTTTTTAACTATTTCGCCCCTTGTATGGAATATTTATTCTTCTGTCTTACATTATTAGTAAGGTCCCTCTTAAGAAAACATAATATAGCTGTAAAGTAACATAATATAGCTGTAAAGTAACATAATATAGCTGTAAAGTATAACTAAACTCTTATTTACTTTTTAGAACTACCTGTAGATATTATTTATATATACAGTATTTTTTTTTTTGTAAATGAATCTTATGGAGTTTCATCTGTCATTAATGAGCCTTGATGTCATTCTTCTAGAAGTCTATTGGCTGTTTAACAAATTTTTACCTGGATTTTCTTTGCATACCACATGGTATCTGATCAGACAGGTATGGGTTAGCTTCCATCTTCACGTTATGAGAGTACATACAGTACAGTCCTGTATATCACTTTTTCTGTTCATTTTGGGCACTGCATTGTGCTATGCTCTTAGTGGAACAGTTTGCTGTGCTACTGCTAGTTGAGCCATTCCTTTTTGTGAGCTGTCTTATGTGCCTTTCTTTTGTTTTGGCATGTAGCCATTTAACACATTTGGCTATATGTGAAATGCTTTTTTTGTTAGAGTAAACATCCAAATTTTATGATGTAGTCTGTGAAATTAAAGATGATTTTTGGACATTTTCTATTTCACAGTTTCCAAAAAGATTCTGTTTATTATTAAATATGATTATTTATTTAAAAGAGTAAAATTTTATTCTTCAAATAAATTAAAAACAAATTGGGTTGATACCATAACATGTACTGTACTAGCTTAGTACTTTACCATACTCGAGGAACACATGATGATCTCTGTAACTCATGGTTAAATCACGGTCTGCTTAACAATAATTCTGGTAAATTTTTTTTAGAATAGGCTGATGTATGATGGAGAAATTGATTTTACTCAATCACTTACCCAAATGTAGTCCATAGTATTTCCTACACTGTACCTGTTCACTAATCTTAGTACCCTGGATACTGGCTTATGATATTAATGTTGGACAACAAATTTGGCTATAAAGTAACTTATAAATACAGTACAGTATTGTTGATGTCAGAATTACTTTTTTATCCAAGTGAGAAATGAGACTTAATTATGGTGGCCTTAGTTTTATGCCAGATCCTCATAATTTGTATTTAGATGTCTTAAATGTTGGTTCATATAGATAAAAGTTGATAAGTAAGAATATGAAAACCAAAAGGGCTGATTAGTAAACCCTTCTAGGATTGCAAGGGCTGTGTGTTACCATTGCTTCACGTCTGCATTGCACGTCTCACGCTTGCACCTTGGCTTACAGCTCATCGGGCCTGGCTAGCAGCTCAGAAATATCCCCCGCAACTCCTGATTCTGAAACCACGGGCTGGCCTGGCTGGGAGCGTCGGATAGGCCCTGGTGAGTTCGGTAGCAAGGCCCGTCGCTACTGGAGCTCGGAAGAGAGCGGGTTTATGGAAGGTCTTGACGCACCTCTGGACACCTCATTACACGCGCACCTTTCTCCTGTGCATGAAATCAAGTGAGACTAAGTATAGTAAAGTATATCACATAGGCTAGATTATCATATAGCACATTGAGGTTTGTATGAGGTGAAGATTTGGGTTGATTTTATACTCTTAATTTTTCCCTTCTAGTAAGTACTGTATAGATATTTTATGTGTACTGGTGTTCCTCTACTTACAAACAAGTTATGTTCCCGAGACTTGTTCTTAAGTCCAACTTTTCTCCTGTAGATACCGAACACGTAAAAATATTTAAAAACAGGTAAGGAATATTATCTCGGATGTAAAGTAACAGCCTACACGGTAAGCCTAAAGGCTTAAGCAACCTCACAACTCCCTATACTGTACCCCCTTTTCCATTGTTCATAAACCATACCACCTACTTTTCATGCGATATTTAACAATTGTGCTACATGAAGATGAAAAAAATGCAGCTAAAACCATTAAGGAAAAGCTAAATGAAAGTTATCACAACTGCCATTTGCATAGACATTGGCTGTGTGGCATCTAAGCTTGCCATAGCAAATGATCCCAGCTGGGATGCTGCCTCTGCCGACCTTTGACTCTCATACACAAAGGAAGGTTTTATTCCTTTATGTTTTTGATCTGATGATAGTTATATATATATTTTTTTTTTTTTTACACACTACCTACAAAGGATTGTGTGTGCATTTAACTGAGTAAAAAAATAAAAATGAAAGTTACAATTAAGTATATCTATCTGAAATTACAAGTTGAAAAATGACCACAGCTCAACCTGGTAGTGAGAGAACTAGGGGGGCATGGCTACAGTGACAAGAATGACTTGACAACAATGCCACCAGCGGTGTTAACAGATACAAATGAATAAAAAATCTTTGTAAATCCTCATTTGCATCAGGTATTTGTAGATTTAAAGCAGCGTATACAGTACAATATGTCTAGTGAATGAAATTCTGCTTCTCATGTAGCAACATAAAGAAAGAATCTAGGGGTACAGTGAGCAAACCCAGGATAAAGGACTTAACTGGTAAGGTCAGCCTACTGCGAGCATGTACTGGGTAGTTACCGTTCACTGTAAATGACCCATGGATAGTACATATGGACAAGTTTGTTTGTACAGTATCTCTGAGAGTTCATAAGTCGAATGTTTGTAAATAAAGGAGCACCTGTATTAGTAAGTCATAGTCACACTGTCATTAACTAGCGGAATATAATTCTGACAAGCTTTTGTCTCTTGCTTATTATACAGTAACCTTACAAATGGTTATTACAACTCTTCATTTATCATCGTCTGGTGCTTTACTCTCTGTGAGAATGCTCTTGTGGGTGGGACACATTTCTTAGGATAGATATTGTACAGTACTTAATGTAAGGGATTAATTGTGTCTAATGATCACAGTATTGTTATATGGTTTTCAAGATTCACGCCCGTATTATTAAACAACATCTTCCCTTGAAGAGGGTCGTCGTATTTCAACCCGAGTTTTAAACTAAATGAGTCCTGAGGGACACCGCAGTACAGTACTTAACGGGATGGTGTGGTGGTAAAATTAACTAATTCCAATAAAATTAATTTAATTGGAATTAGTTAATTTTACCGCCACACTACCCCGTTAAGTACTGTACTGCGGTGTCCCTCAGGACCCATTTAGTTTAAAACTTGAGTTGAAACACGATGACCCTCTTCAAGGGAAGATGTTGTTTAATAATGAGGGCGTTAGTGTTCATCAGATATCGTTTAAGTGTACAGAAATTTTAGATACCTGAAATTTGTTGGTTGTTCCTGAGTTCTTGATTACTGTATTAAGATCTTGACGGCTTTAATTATAATAATTTTAATTTCATACCTTGACATTAATTTATCATAATATTATTACATCCTCATGTGATATTACTGTGTATACACATTAACTCTTGAAGGGATGGTGTTTAGACAAATTTTTTGGTGCAGCATATATGTCCCAATTATTTGAATGGGGGATTATCCCATAAACGATAGCATTCATCAGTGGAAGTTAGTTGTAGGGACAGTGGCCATCATCACTGGAGGTTTCGAGTTCCTTGTATTCCATTTTTACAGATGTGGAGGCAAAGTAGGGAATCCTTAGGGTATTTAGGGATATATCCTGTATACTAGTTATATCTGCACCTGTACACCACCAGCCTAAAACATCTGATCATGTACAGTAGCTAAAACAACTATCTGTGCATACTTTGTGGGAAACAATATGAGACCATGGAATGGACGATAAATTTTGGTATATGAGGGCTGTCACTACTCACACGTAAAATTTCGGAGTATATCGACCCCCACCTACACAGATAGTTGTTTTAGCTACTGTACATGATCAGATGTTTTAGGCTGGTGGTGTACAGGTACAGATATAACTAGTACAGTTGTACCCCACTTAACGCGGTCAATAGAACCCAGAGGGTCCCGTGTTAAGTGAAATCCGCGTTAAGTGAACAACAGAACATATGGGATTAATTCCAATAGAAACCGGCCCGACCCCCAAACTCCACTTTTTGAAGGCACATACCTATGTTGTAGTAAAAATAACATCTTAATTTTATGATGGTACATGCACACAATTAATACTTAAGAGAAATAGAGAAATACAGTCGCCAAGTTAATGTCCATTCAAATAATGGACTCAACTCCCTCCCCCTCTCACACTACACTGCCGGCTCTTCCCTCTCAGAGAAATTTTTGGGGAAAACCACTAAATTTTAATAAATAATACCTCAAACTAAAGTTAGGATAATACAATTGACATTGCTGGATTCCTTGTAAGACCAGGAATATTTTGAATATAAATGTCATATATTTTGCACAAAAGATAACATAGTTACCTAGAGAAAATTTTTATCTAAAATTTGTATGTTTAATGCAAAATATATGATGTTTATATTCAAAATGATCACCAAATTATAAGAATTCCAGCAATGTAAATTATATTCTGACCGGGTAATTTGTATGAATTTTATGAGCTAAAACAAATATCTTCAGTTAATAAAAAAATAATAATCTTCACGACACTATCTGTCAATCAAAGTACCCCACCTTGCCTCCCCCCCTCTTCCAACCGCGCGGTCAGTCCCAACCCTCCCCCCCACCCCCCACCAATCCTCCCTTCCAGAGTTTTTAACATTTAGTATTAAATAATACCTCAGATTAAAGTTAGGATAATATAATTGACATTGCTGGATTCCTTGTAAGACCAGGAATATTTTGAATATAAATGTCATATATTTTGCACAAAAGATAACATAGTTAATTTGAGAAAATTTTTATCTAAAATTTGTATGTCTAATGCAAAATATATGATGTTTATATTCAAAATGATCATCAAATTATAAGAATTCCAGCAATGTAAATTATATTCAGACCGGGTAATTTGTATGAATTTTATGAGCTAAAACAAATATCTTCAGTTAATAAAAAAAAAAATAATTCTTCACGGGGTAACAGATGGTCGGTCGGTCCCTCCCTCCCCCCCACCCCCCACCAACCGTCCCAAGGAGATGTGTGGGATAACCACTAAATTTTAATAAATAATACCTCAAACTAAAGTTAGGATAATATAATTGACATTGCTGGATTCCTTGTAAGACCAGGAATATTTTGAATATAAATGTCATATATTTTGCACAAAAGATAACATAGTTACTCTGAGAAAAATTTTTATCTAAAATTTGTATGTCTAATGCAAAATATATGATGTTTATATTCAAAATGATCACCAAATTATAAGAATTCCAGCAATGTAAATTATATTCTGGCCGGGTAATTTGTATGAATTTTATGAGCTAAAACAGGCAGTCAGGCAGGGTGGGGCAAATCTAAAAATAGCGTCTCGAGCCGGACACTCACCGCGTATATGTGGAAAAAATCCGTGTTAAGTGAAAGTTCAGCTCTGGCGAGGCACCGCGTATATGATAAAACGCGTTAAGTGAAACCGCGTTAGGCGGGGTAATACTGTATACAGGTTATGGCAAAGTTGGTATTATACTAATACTGTACAAGGATATAGAAACAATTGAAAAGGAAGGAATAGGATTAACATTGAATTTGAAAAAAGTTGGGGAATTAGAAGTGCTGGTAAGAGAATAAAGTAATTGTTTAATGGAAAAAAAAAGTTCAAACCCAAATTACAGTACACTGGAAAATGAAAAAAAGGTGAAATATTTTTGACTGGACACAAAGTTTACAATACTGTATCAAGAAAATGACATGTACTGGTAGGTGTTTTATTGCTTACATATGAAGTTCTTGCAGTAATGTTAGCTTCAAATGATGAAATTTTTCTGTTCATGAAGAGCTGACTGTGCTGATTTTCAGTATGTTGCATTATTTGCTTTATGCATGTGCAAGAGCTCATGAACATTCTTTTTGTTACATTACTGGATAATGATATGCTTAGCTTTTGATTGTGGGCATCTTGGGATCTGAGTTATAGAACGTGTTGTATAACTTGTGACTTGTGGCAGATGATCACAGAGCACTTTTATTGATGCGAGATAAAACATGCAAATATGTGTACTGTACATCATTTATGTTTGATAAATGAAAGTGAATTATTAAGTGCATCTGCAAAATTTTGATTGAACTGATAATAGTAAATATTTGGTTAAGTGATTTAAGTACAGTACAGGTACTGTATTTGTTTGATTAAATGATAGTGATTTATAAGGGAACTGGTTGAACTAATGTTCATATTATATAGTACTATATTAATTTACCTGAATATACTTCTAGAGGAGACTCACAAGTGCAATAGAAATTAGGAAAAGTTGAAGGTAATTATTGTGAGCATGGTGAGGAAAGGTCTTAGATAAGCGTGATGTGATAAATGATCGAGAATCAAAGATATACATAATATACCTTTATTAAAGATGATATAAGAACAATTGAGAAGATTTGAGGATATATGGGGCTGTGAGTAGATATGTGAATCTGAAGAGATTTTGTTGAATATGGTGTATGTTTTGCTGAAGACAAGATAGTGCTCCAACATTGAAGTTAATTAATGATAAATAAAAAGCCATTCTACATCATTACAGGAAAAAGCTTCAATGCATGAAAAAAGTACCCTATATACAGGGAGTCCCCAGGTTACGAACGGGTTCCATTCCTGAGGACGTTCTTAAGTCGGATTTGTACGTAAGTCGGAACACATGCTATATGCATACTGCACTTACAAAACAATGTTTAAAGTCCCACTATATCATAGCCTAAGTCCTTATATACATCTAAAATCACTTAATTTAAGAGAAAAGAAGAAATAGAATGACAAAATACTGTACAGTAAATGAAAGTAAAATATAAGTCATCAGGTAATACTGTAAATTTAAAATTTAACCCTGTTTGTATCGGCGGGCGTTCGTAAGTCGGGGACTTCCTGTACTGTATATTATAAATAAAATATAAATTTAGCAACTGATGAATTTTGTTTTTTGTAAGTTATGCAAAATCACCCATATATTTATATTCTAATATAGTACAGTAAAATACCAGCTATTTTCAACTTGTAAAGCTTGACAGTCCTTAGAAGACTACTTTATTGTGGGGTGCAGCAGTTGTGTGAACACAGTGCTCACCTCTTGTCCTAAGGGTCACTAGTTCACTAGTTCAGGTTAGTTTAAAGTAACCCAAGAAATGGATTCATCAATGCTGTTATTTGAGTTTGACAAATTCATTTGTTGGGTTACTTAAAAGTAACCCAATGTTCATGATTCCTCTTCGGACTTACTGCCCCGGATGTTTAAAAAAATTGCCGATTGTCTTCTAGTTTATCAAGGTTTAACTTTTACTCTTCACAGTATGATCATGTTCAACATACCAACTGGATAAAATTAAAAACCAAATGAGACAAATATCAAAGAAGGAGAATGGAGTAAATTTCTCTGAGGGAAATATCATGAAACTGGAATGTAGAATGGGTGAAAAACAGGTGTTAGTGAATAAAATGATTGTCAATTTATGGAGGAGAAACTTTGAGTGTGAATGTTAAAGAAACATAGAAGAATAATACAGTTGTTTAATCATTCAGAATAATGGTTTTGTTCCAATCAAACCACATTAATGCTAAGAATTGACAAAGGATCAAACTTGCTTTTGCTAACCTTATTATTTAAAAAATTAATATTAATACAATTCAAGTATTTAGTCACTCCATATATGTCACAGTTTCACTGTTTTGTAAATGCTGAAATAAGATATTATTTTCAGAGAGAAAGAGGGTTCAGAAAGCAGCACCTCTACTCCTCTGCGTCGTATTGACAACTGGAACTCCACCGTCACAGACGAAAACATAAACAACACCAGTGACAACAACCTCAACAACAACCTCATCATGGGGAACAAGGCCAGCACAGGCAATGATAATGACCTCCTCTCCTACACCTCCTCTGATCTAACACCAACTCAGGATACCCACACAGCTATTGGACCCAAACTTGAACTTACTAAATATGCCAACACAGAATGGCAGGGTAACACACCGAAGGCACAAAATATTAAACAGGTTATTAAATCTGCCATGCCTAAGTAAACACACTATAATATGAGCAGATTTGTAATTGCTCAACATCACTTATATTGGTAATATATATATAATGAAAAATTAATTACTGTACTCTTGTAATATAAAAGAACATGGCCAAGTACAGTACTGTACTCGTATAGATATAAGAATATGATTTTTTCTAAAGTGCTCAATGTTGATATAAGATACATTTCAGTAGTTTTCATTAACAGAATTAAAATTCTTTCTCTTGTTTTCAGGGTTACTCTTCCATTCCCATTGAACTTAGTTTTACCCATTTACGGAAAGTACGAGGAGACAACTATTGTGGCATACGTGCTGCCTTGTACCAGATGCTCTCCCTCGGCCTCTCATTACCAAATGGCCACTCAACTCATTCCCGTCTCGCAGTTGAACTCAGTCAAGGTGCTAGCTGGCTGCGTGAATGGTCGTTTGGGCATCGTCTGAATTTTACAAAAGAACAGATACTTAATGGATTTTGGGAATGCTTGGATGCTTTAGATAGCATGGTAAGTTGTGCAGCATACATTCTGACTTAAACATTTATGATCATTAATATTTGTTGTGGAAGTTGAAGAAGGGTATAACATCACTATAATAATAGGACAGGGTACATATGAATGTAACTCTTAGTACTAGCAGTAACATAAGGTGGTGTGAGAAACAGAATGGAAACATCAAACATATAAATTGATCAATACTTAGGTTGAATAAACTGTTTACATTCATATTTTTTGTAAAATGTGGCTACTTGTTAATTATTAAAATTTTTGTACAAGGTGCTGAATCTAATGGGGTGTGAAAACCGGGAGTGTGTCGTTCTGTCTCGACTCAACGGAGACCCGAATCTAGACGTGAAGCTGTGTGAGGCCGTTAAGCTGCACATGCTTGCAACAGCTCTTGATTTGTACGTCAGTAACAACAATGGAGAAAATGTGCCACTTTTTGCTATGATAATGTTTGCCCGCCATTCTTCGCTGACGCCAAGAGACCTTCTGAGAAATCATTTAAATCCAGTTGGGGATACTGCTGGATTAGAGCAGGTGAGCAAACTGTGCGTTCTGTAAAAAAATATAAAGGAATTTTATTTTTTATGACTTGACACTTTTGCCATTAATAGTGTTCCCTGGAAGAGGGAAGTGAAATGTTCTATTACAGTACTGTACTTCTAAAGTAGTACACTTAATGCCATCTCTCAAGAATTATGAAGCAATCCCCTAAAGCATGATAGCAACATAACTTCTGTAGACATATAAGTTGACAACTGATATCTTGCAACACTAGATTAAATCACAAGTAAAACAAAAGTCTAACTCTGATAGTCCCCATGCACCTAACCCTTATACTGTTTCCTAGGTAGATAGATATTTACTCAGTAAAATCTTCAATCTTCATATAAATTTACATTGAATCAGCATAAAATGTTGATGCTTTTTCTTTTCTTGCTCTTTTTTAGGCCAAACATTAGCCTTCTTGGAAAAAATGGCACTAAATGTTAGGCTATATTTAAGTAATGTCGGGGGCCTGGCATTTAATGCCATTATGCAAAAAGTTCAGCTGTTTGGCCTTTTTGCAATAAGGGCTACATTTGCCAAAAGGCCTTATTAAAAATGGACAAAAATGTACAGAACAGTGAAGAATAACCTAGAACTTACAGTAATGCTAATGTTTGACAGTGTGATATATAGAATAATTATGCAATACTGAAGGTATCCACATCACAGTCCTGTTTCAACACGCTCCACCATTCAAAACATTGGTATACAGTACAGTATGTTGAATTTGCAGATGTCATGTTTTTATTATTGTATGTTTTGTTATAGCCTGAATTAACTAAAATTTTATTAACTTCATGTGCAGGTATACCTTTGGCTCTTGTGTGTTCTTGCTTTAGTTCTTTGTTCTAGAGTGTTGGTGGTTAAACTAATATGTGTTTTACCTCCATTGCTGCTACCATGACTCAGGACCAACATAAGGTGTGTAATGACCCGGAGTTACCTCATACATGTGCATAAATATCTGTACTTCTTGTGTTCCTTCTTCTTTATGTTTGACCCATTGGTTGATACATATGTGCATGGTGTAAGAACTACCTTTTCTTTTTCTTTTTTGTGTGTGTGTTGTATGTATTCTTCTTAGTTTTTTATTATTTCTTCTTTTTGCTGAGAGATTCTGAGTCTTTGCTACATCCATTACCCTACCATGAACTTTTTAACCCCTTGCGTGGGAAGTGTGTAATATTTTGTATCTGACCTTGTTGGCTCAAAATGGTAAACCGGAATATTGTGTTTTGATTATTCCCACTGCAGTTCAAACTCGGGGGGAGAGTTTATGGCTTCTGTGGATGCCTACAGCCTGTATCTACAATATCTTAGTCATGGAAAAAATATCTTAGCCATCAATGCAGATCTAAATGTTATTTTGATGTCTAGGAGGAAGGACATGCCACCCTCTTTCTCGTGTAAATATCTCTCAACTTACAGCTTGTGCCAGCTCCTAGTATTACTATTTCTTGTTTCTAATTTTTTTTAATGCAGTATGGGTGATTTTTCACATCTTGAGAAGAGCATAATTGTTTCTTAAAATATATCTATAAATTCATTATACTGACATGGTGGGAAATTTGGAACTTACTACTGCTAGATATATTGTGCAGGTTCTCAAAAGTGGTTAGAGTTCATTCACTCTGTAACCTCTGGACCTGTAGGCATTACATTTTTTTAGTTTTTACTTTATATGAAGTTGATTATAGTATTATTATTATTATTATTATTATTTTAATCAAATGAAGTCACACAAAAACATGAGTACTTGTTTTTCAGTACATTATTTGTTATGAGTTGCACATTTTGTCAGATGAAGTTGTTATACTGTACTGAATTAGGTCACTACACTATTCTATTTATATATTTGGAATTTGAAATACAGCTTATTAGATTAGATGTGTTTAATGTCTTTATAAGTCATTAATTTGCTTTTAAATTCTTGTTATTTGTAGAAATGTTAAAAATTATTCAGTAAAACTATTAGGTGTTGGACGAAGGGAAAACTATATTGTGTTGCCCTCATTTAAGATTCACCCATAATACAGTACAGTAGTGTAGTTGCTTATGGCTTAAATAGGAGGAGATATACCAGATCTCTGTTGACCATCCTCTTATGTATGACACCAGACTCTCAAGTGGCTATTACCATAAGTTGATTCCTAAAAATGGTCCTCAAATCAGGAAAATATTGCCTCTGAAGAAAAAGAAACAATTCCATGTAAATAAGACAAGAGTTGGCCAACCCTTTCTTAATCTAAATAAGGATGAGCAAAAGAATAAAAGTGTATTGATTCTCATTTCAGTTCAGTACATCCTTATGTGTTGAAGCTGTCTACGATACAACATTTTCTACTAATCACACTTTTCTACTAATACCTGTATATGAAGAGTGCATATGGCAGTTGTACTCGTGTCATAATTGCCCTTCGTATTTGTTTAACATGCCATATGAGTACTTTCTGTGTGTAATATTCCGCAAAAATGCTTTCTGTTTGTGCAATATGATGCTTACGTACTCCCAGTTTTTTTGATATGCCACATGAATGCTTCTTGTTTGTGTAATATGCCATGAAAATGTTTATTTGTTTAATAGGCATTCTTTGAGTTCTGACATGTGAATGCACACTTGTTTATTTAATAATTATACAGTAATGTACTGTACTCATCTCTAGTGCTTCAAAGGACATGTAAACTATGTACAAGTGCTTCTGCTGAAAAATATTCACATTCAATCCCTTTACCTTGATAAATATATTGATAGAAAAATTTATTTTCATTCTAAGCATATTGATTATGGTGATGTAATTAATTATATTTTAGAGACCAATCTACCACATGCAGTTAGTTGAGTAATGAGAATTAGTAATAAGAATCTAGAGAATAAATTATCCTATGAAATTGACAGTCAATATATTCAAGGGTAAAGTTGCTGTTATGCTCCAGTGATATATATTTAGGCCTCTTTCACACTAGGTCTTTTTTTCTTCTTTTTTTCGCGACAATACATATATGCGTCCGCTGTGCAGAAAGCGATAAATTCACATGAACTTTTTCTTCCACGCATCACTTCAACTTAATATGTTCATGATGGGAAATGTAAAAAGAGGATTGATGTTGATTTTCCAATAATTAAACTTAGAGAATCGAAAAGAAAGTGTAAATGGCGGGTCCATCCATTAAATAGCGTCACTTTTACTTTTATAAAGTGCTTTCATTTACGATCATCCATATTACAATAATCCACGTTAACGTTAATTAGGTTTCAACACCCTCTCGCTATTTACTTTTGGCAAAATCCACGTTAATTATAGTTATCATTAGGTTAAACTCATTGACATGGAATGTAAACAGTAATATCTCTGTAAGCTGGAATCCCTCTTAACTGGAATTCTCCAATAGCCAGAAGGGAAATTTTTTCAGAAAAAAATTTCCCAAAGCCAGAATTTCCCAGAAAATTCCGACTTTGGGAACTTTTTTCCAAGGGACACATTTTCTGGAAAATTCTAAAAAAAATTTCCCAGTACCCGGAAAATTCTGGGAATGGGGGAGTTTCTTTGTCTGGGTTTGAGAGATGAAAATCCAGCTCAATTTCTGGAACTTCCGAGAACATTCTTCCGTTACCCGGAAAATTCTGGGGATGGGGATTTTTATACGGCTTAAAGTGAATCATCTCATTACCCGGAAATCCTAAAGATTTTTACTAAATTAGAATTTTTACCAAATGGGACAAAGTTGGGATAACTGTAAGATTCAAATACTGCAGTTGGAATTTGGATAAAATTAATTGCATTGAATACAGTGGCTGGCCTGACATGAATGGGGGAGGTTGTTGGGTGTTAATGGGTTATACCAAAATATTGGAGTGCTACAACACCCTCCCTTCCCACATCCATATACTAGGTGGAGTGAGCCAGCACACACCTGACCACAACAATAACAAACACCAGACTGACCAAACATGGAGTGCAGAGATTATTATCCACATGGCCAAATATGCCGAGATATTCCCTGATAATTTTATATAACTCGGCATTTCCCCAGTTCTTTTATAATAAATTCCGAGACCGTATCCATGCCGAATTATATGAAATTCCAAGGTTCTCATCAGTATTCATAGTAATTAACAGGCTATAAAGTGATGATATATGTTCTATATACTGGTAAATAAACTGTAATAATAAAAAAAAATATATATATATATATATATATATATATATATATATATATATATATATATATATATATATATATATATATATATATATATATATATATATATATATATATATATATATATATATATATTACAGTGGGGTATGCTATAACGGGGCCTGGAACGGATTAATCCTATAACAAACGAATGCTATAACGAACAAGGTTGTAGAACCAATTAGATTCGTTATAGCATACCCCACTGTATATATATATACACAGCTAGACCCCGACTTACGACGGGGTTAGGGACCCAAATCCAGGTCGTAAGTCCGAATGGTCGTAAGTCTGACATAGATTAAAAAAAAAATCTACAATGAAATACAGTACAGTAAAAGTAATAAATAATGAGGAATGGATACAGTACAGTGAAAGTAATAAATAATAAGGAATGGATACAGTGTGACTGAGCACTTACCTTTAATGTAGTCAGCTGAATGCACATGGGGCCCCCATAATTTTCTAATTATACATGGAGACTACATTAACTGGAAACATTTCGGTATAGAAAATGCATGTGTCATTTGAAAAAAAAAAATGGTCACAACTGCGGCGGTCGTAAGTCCCGACGGTCGTAAGTCGAAACAGTCATAAGTCGGGGTCTATATATATATATATATATATATATATATATATATATATATATATATATACAGTATATATATATATGTGTATAGTTAGTTAGGGATACAGTACCTATATTGCATATTCAAATACACAATTACTTAAAAATACATACCACAAAGGAATGAGACACTTGCTGAAGTATTCACATAGCTGAAACACAACTGTCGCATGACAAAGCAAACACTCGTCCAACATCTTCCATTGCCAAAAGAAGAATTCTAAAACTCAGGACATATATTTATGCGTCATGTTTTGGAAGTACCCCGGTACTGTACAAGCATTTGGTCGACGTCTCATTCAACGTCATTATTTCTAAATCGTACGACACATGTCCCATGACAAAAAATGCTTGTGTGAAAGAGGCCTTAACCCAACTCTCTAAGATTGTAAGCTTATAGGGTACAGTAATAATCTTACACTTCAGTTATTCAGTATACCATATATTTGACATAATATACCGTCTGGGAACTCCCTTTGCATGAGAAGTTCTTAAAACGTTATAATTAGGAATGCAGTACAGTATATTAAAACAAATACGTACTGTATTGGTTTAGGTATAAAGTACAGGTACAGAAATTTTCCTTGCTTTTATAGGTTATCATTTTCAGTTTATTGTGATATTTCTAAAGTTCTAAACATTATACTACAGTAGTTTTATATATAAATTAGTTTAAGGCTTTCAGCTAAATAATTTATAGTCGACTGTCTGATCTAGTTATAGTCATATACAGTATATATAAACAAGTTATACAGTATTCTTATATTGTTCCTTATGTCAGCAGGATTACAGATGTGTTGTATTTCTAGATCGAGATGTTTTTGATGGGTCACACTTTGGGGGTCACGCTGCAAGTTGTTCGCCCTGCAAGCTTTGGTAAAGACGACTTTATCTGTTACTATCCTGATGCTAACATTGGAGTCTGGCCTGAAGTTACCCTGGTTGCTGAGGATGACCGTCACTATAATGTTCTTGTCAAATGAGAGGCAAGTCAATATTTTGTGTATTATTCATGTATTTATGTGTAGGGGTGTGGTTGGAATTTATTCAAGCACAGGTAGATATTGTTATGAGTGAATTAAACTTTTTATATAATTACTGAAAATTCCTAAAAATAAATGAATTGTAAATACCTAAAAATCATTGAATTTGTGATACTATTAAGTTTGTGTGAAGAACCAGAGCTACTGTGTTGATGTACAGTATCCCAGGCTCTTATACCTGATGCTGTGTCACTGTCTGTCACCATTGTGGTTTCTAGGCAATAACTTTTGTCACACTTTGTACCATCACCAAACTTTACTGGAAGCTTACTTTAGGTATACACGGAAGGATATTTATATTGGCATCCAAAGATTAAAAGTTGAGCTTATTTTAACTTGGAAAAGAAAGTTGAGCTTTGACTTGTAATGAGTCATGCTTCTGCATATCAATGAAAATATTATGTACAGTCCTGTTTACAGTATTTTATTCTCAAGTTATTTTTTGTTTACTTCTGCAGGTGTGGAGAATGTGTACATGTTTGAAAACAGAAGTGGTGGAGATCCAGATCTGCTGTTTAATACTTTCAGTCTAAATCTTGTGGTTGATGTAAGCCTGAGCTGAGGCTTCCTGAAGAGAAATTTTTCAATAATGTCACTCATAAATCTATTGGAAAACTGTTGACACACATTTTCTCTATGAGATGGAAGGCAAAACAAGTTTACTGTAGTTGCATAGGTAAATGACAATCAACTGATGATAATGTCACTTATCTATGGACCAGGCAAAGTGGGATGTCAACCAGAGTATCACTGACCTCTTAATCTTAACAACAATCAACTAAGAATCTCTTCAGATCATTCATCAAAAAACACAAACCATAGCAATAAAAGTTTAGGTTACCCAAACTTTGGATAGTGACAGGTGCTGTCAGGTTCATCAAAACAACCATATACAGTACTGTATTGGGTGTGATTCATGGTGTGCATGTAGAATACTATGTATATAATGTTTTGTTAGCAGTTTATTAGTTGACATGGCAATTTGTGTATATAATAACTGTATATACCCTATGATTGTTGAGGCATTCGTTATATTGTAGAACCTGAAGGGTGTAGCAAAAAGTGCATTAATTTGGTAAAATTATGCTTGTATTATACGCTAAGAATATTTGTCAAAAGAATATTATGCTCTGAGGATAATACATTTCAGGAAGGTTTGTTTTCCAAACTCCAGCTTAAAATAATAATGACAAAACAAGCCCCTATTCCATAGAAGGTCATAAGAGGTTTGCTGAAAAAAAGACTGATTTTCTTCTAAAAATTTTTTCAATGTCTTGATCATTCCAGATCCAGCTGAACACTGATGATCAATTTTGATAACTAATTTCTGTCAGAGCAAAATTCTGTTCATTTTATAGTTCATAATTATACGAACCATCAAATCGGCTTGGAAAATATTGAGTGTAATTCACATGCCGTGAAGACTGGAAATCTGTTATGATATACAGTATACAGTAGTATAAAATTTCAGTGTATGGAAATATCTGTGACATAGATAGAAGACTAAATGAGGTAAAATGGAGGAAAGACAAAATGGTTATCATACCAAGCTTTTGGTCAGTCTTGTCAACACTTGCCTTTGGGTTTGGGATGATCAGGCACTAATGTGAGTATGGAAACATAGGTTCTGTTTTATATACTGTATAGTATATTGATTTTATTAGTAGTTTTATTTTCTGGGTCTTCCATGTTTTGCAGCATCTAGGTAAGCATTTTTTTTATTTTCTTTTTATTTATTTATGCCAAATCTCTGGAATTTTTCCATAGTCATGCTGATTTAGTGCTATCTGGCTTCTAAGCAAAACAAACCTGTGTGTCTGTGCTCATGGGGGAAGGAAAACTAGTGTCCAACAGGACCCTGGGACCTCTGTGTCATACTTAGGAGTGCCAGGAGCTCCAATCTAACAAAATTAGGGTCAGCTTGATTTTGGAACTGCAGTTTACATTTAGTATTTAATTTTAGAAATATTTGAAATACCAAAGATATAATATAGTGATAGTATGAAAGATTTATTACTAGGGAGAAGAAATCTGGTTAGTATATTAAGTAATTTTAGGGTCTTTTGTAGAATTTCATTCTCACTCTTATGTACAAAAATGAAAGATGACTGGGACTTATAGACTCACTTTTCTCAGTTTCACATACAGTATTTTCTTCAAACTGCTCTACATGAAAGCCCTGGTATTCCTAATATGGCACAGGAAGTTCCAGAAGTGTCGATCACTGTACATATCAGTTATTTTGTGCTATAATACACTTACTAGAAAATGGATTAAACTTTTACATCATTCTATAAATATGAAAGAATGATGACCTATAATGTTTTTAAATAACATTGTTTCACATATTTTAAGTTTTACAAGAAGCTGACTGAAAGAGGTATGCAGGTGCCATTAAAGAAAACTCAACTGATATATATATATATATATATATATATATATATATATATATATATATATATATATATATATATATATATATATATATATATATATATATATATATATATATATATATATATATATATATATATATATATATATATATACTCAATGGTCTCAATCACTGGGCACATCATCTTCCATTAATATTTGGTCATATCGGTCATTATGTAGTACCTGTACTGTAGTTGGTGAATTGTTTAAGATTACATTGCATTTCCAATTAGTATTATCATCATTAGGTTAGAGTAACACATACCATGATAGTAACTTTGTCACATGTTGTTACATACACTGTTGGTCATGAAACTCATGTTTATAAGATTCACGTACGTGTGTGTGTGTGTGTGTGTGTGTGTTTTCGCTTTCTTGATTGATTCTGGCTAGTTTGCATTGAAATATTAAGATTAAATAAAACTGAAAGAATAAAAAAGTAGGGTTTTGTATTTTCTGATATGACCAGTTATTGAGGCAATATTTTATCATACATTAGCACAGATTACTGTATATGTTTTATGCTTCTTGCCATACAAAGTCTTTGCTTTGTATCTTGGTTTAAGATGCACCAGTTTCAGTCATGTTGCTCACCTGCACTGTTTTTTAAGTTCAAACACATTACAGTATTTAATTTTTTCTTATTTTTGGTAAGCTGACTTAAGTTCTTGCTTTCCTTTTTTTTTTTTTTTTTCATTTTCTTGGAAAGTTTAGTATCACTTAATGTCACTAAATTACAATAATGAGTCATCATGTATGTGAGAGCCATCACTGTTTGCAGATCTTGTAAAACTTATATTAAACTTTTGCTTTTAAGAAGTAAAAAACATTTCAAAATTTCTCGGAACTTTAACGTGATGTAAAAATTTAATTACATTTACAAGAGCACAAATAAACTATCCATTTTTCATTATGCTATTGAAGTAAGAAGTGCTTAATACTGACAACTGTGCATGACCAACACTTGAGGAGAGAAGCACTTTAGAATTATGGTTGAGATGGTCAGAAAATGTGGGTTCAAGTTGTTTGACCATAACATGTTACTTAAGTTCAGCCATTCTTAAGTCATATTTTATTTATGGTAAATATTTGTTTAAATAATTATGAATGAAATTTGTTATGCATTTATGTAGGTTTGTTTGATTAAGTCTATTTATTCATTTTTATCAAAACCTCAGGTTCATGTTGAAGTCTTTGTTTTTATTATGTTGTATTACCACTAGGCTCCCCAAATTCGTTTATAATAAAAAATCAAATATGATATAATTTTTTCTGTTTTATTTATTGAGTACTGTAACACAAATCATGATAAATAAATTTGAAATACAGTACAGTACAACATATTTGATGGAATCCATACAATGTGTATAATCAATGTTAGGAATAATTATATTAAAAACTGATACCAGAAACCATCCAATTACCTCAACAAGTATTTGACTCTTTGCTCGGTCACACATGACTGGATACTGACATGATCATTAATTCTAATGAAATATAAATTGAACGACGTGGAGAGGTAATAGGATGATATCGACCATGTGCTAGTGGTTTTAGATATAATAAAATAACTCCAAGCCCACATTTACTTGATGAACCTTTGAGTTCACTTTAAGTGCATCTGATTCTTTGTGTTTTATTTTACTTAAAGTGGATTGGAAGTTTTATTTCATTCATTATTTTCATATGTGAGATGAACTGTTGGGTCTTTTTAACTCAAAACTAATTTTAAGTAGATTCTGTTTGTGTGTTATTTGATGCAGCTGTGTCAGGTATAGGCTAGGTTGTGGCTCTGTATGGGGTTTTGCAGAACTAGAACAAAGTGAGTTTATTTTCCAAATGATTTTTTCTATCCTAGAAGGATTCTCCCTGAAATTGGGGTTGAGGTGACCATTGCTGTACTGTGTTAGTAGGAAGTAGGTCGTAGGCAGCTACCGAACAGGGAGGTACTACCGCCGGGGAAGATATTAGAAGCATTATGTGTTGTCTAATGGTAGACCCTGCTGCCATATGGCATCACGAAAATTTGGACCAAGTCCCAGGTTACTGATCTAACTTTCTGCCTCATTTACACACAATTGCAGGGTCTCAATTGTTTCTCTTACGTTGACAACACATACTGTACATACATACAGTATGTTGTTTCTCACTATTGATTTTTTTTCATATTTGTATTTCTTTATGGTTCATTAGTATTATTATTATTATTATTATTTTTATTACAGTGTCATTATTATTACATGTAGTATTATCATTATTATTTTATTTTCAATTTTGTATTATTTAATATAAATTTTATTTACTATGAATTATTATTATTATTATTATTATTATTATTATTATTATTATTATTATTATTATTATTATTATTATTATTACAGTATTATAATAACATTTTTGCCCCCCAAGCCCCAATGTGGGTCAGTGACCTGTGCCCGGGTGGGCTAATCCCCGTAGAAAAAATAAAAATAAATACAAATACAAATTCATTTCTTGTTTAGGTCAAAGAAAATGCTGCGTTTAAGTACAGTACAGTACTACATGCTTACTCGTAAGTGTTGAGGACTTTTACTCCTTCACTTCAAAAGTTCACCCAAATACTGTAGTTTAAAAAACATTTGTCTGCTCATTTTTCTAAAATCACAGCAAATATTGCAAAACTATAATGAGAACAGAAAATTTTACCCTTAAAGTGCGGCCAACGTCTGTTAACAGTGACGTAGGTGGCTTCAGCCAATGCCAATACATAAGCTCATTTCCCACCAAGACATTTAAATGTGTATGGTGTTCCCATGTTTTGTTTCAGGTTTAAGAGTGGAACTGTGAGTAAGATCCTCAGGAGGTTTTTATTAAGCATGGAGAGTGGAATGTCTTGGTCTTACAGTTCTTGCAGTTCAAGGGTGATAAAAGGGAGGGAATTGGTTCCCTGACCATTATTGCATGTTATTGTAATGGAAGTGTGCACAGAGAAAAACATCCACCGGACAAGTAATGAAATTTTTTTATAATTATATACAGTCAACCCTCGCTTTACGCGGTCCCACTTTACGCGTTTCCACGTTTAAGCGGTACCCTGCCGAACATGGAATGCTCACTTTCCGCGGTGTGTGTACCCTTTTACGCGGAGCGGCGCGAGCAGGGTGTGCACAAGGTCGCCCAGTCATCAAAACATTACCGAGTTCTTCACCGGCCACCCACCACAGCCGGCCCAAGTTGGTGATAGTGATAATGATAGTGAGGATATGGATTTACGTATATGGACTTCGAGGGGTTTGACAAAGAGGCCCTGCAAGCCTCTGTGGTGGATAGTGATACAATTGATACAAGTGATACAGGTGAGGGCCAATAATCTGCCCTCTGCCTCGGAACCAACCCCCCATACCCGTGTGCCCAGCCATCTTTTCTACTAATGTAAGTGTTAAAAAACCTAATATTATTGATATTTCTCTTAATTATTAATTGTATGTACATACCATCATAAAATTAAGAAGTTATTTTTACTACAACGTAGGTATTGTGTCTGAAAAAGTGGAGTTTGGGGGTCGGTCCAGTCTCTATTTCAATTAATCCCATATGTTATGTTGTTCACTTTACGCGGGCCGCCGTGGGTTCAAGTGACCGCGTAAAGTGAGGGTTCACTGTACTGTATACCAGTACAGTACAGTATTCTATTATTCTACATCCTTTTTTATAACTGTGATTTTTTTTTTTTTTTATAATTGAAAAAATAATAATTTCTTACACATACACAGATCACCCAATTTTTCCATGGTCACAATTTAAGGATTTAAAGGTCCTTCATAGCATTCAAATATACAATGACAGATAATGTGGCATTTTATGGATGGGTGCTAATATCATTTTCTCACAGACTAAATACATTTTATTCACACAGTTTTTTATGCTGTTTCTGTGTATACTGTGGCGCTTGATAACCAATTTTGATATTGACATACACAGCCAACACTATGTACACATGTGGTATTTCCACAGGAATATTTTTCTCAAAAATCAGGAGAACAAAGTGTGACACATTTAGTTGAATTGGTGGGAGAGGTGGCATGTCTGTAGCATGTGATTTCTTGTATTTGATTATTTTTGCTTATGATACCATACTAATTAAGCCACAGTAACGTCATTAATCAGATGGAATCCGTTATTCGGATGTCCATGTCAGCGGGGAAGCACGACAGTCCAAACCAACAACCAGTATATTACACTAACACAAATTAGCTTATTTAATCTCTCAAGTAAAATAATCATAATATACTGTAAGTAAATTAAGCTGCATTTTATTTAAAGTGTTAATAGATGTAATGGTAAGGTTCTAGATTCTAGAAGCTTTCAGAGTTGCAAAGAAGATTTTTTAAGGTTCCTGAGTCCTGATGTACAGTCAACAAAAAATTTTCTGTGCCTCTATGGTGTTACACAATATGACACACCAGACCAAGAATTCTGAACAACACTCATGAGTAATGTACAGTGTTCCTGTTAATTTCTCTGCATTAACTATACAAGATATACAGAATTCATCGTATTGGTTACACAATGCATCACAATCAAAAGTACCAACCATACCAAATGAATAGTGATCGTTGCCAAGGCCATCAAACGGGGTGCAGACTTTTTTTTTTTTATTGTAATTGTGCATGTGTTATGGATGGCCTTATACTTCTACTTACTTTTAGCCTCTTCACCACTGATCGGCTCGTTAGCCGCTTGGGCGATCGGTCACATCTCTGTCACACACTGTTGGCAAGTACTAGTCATGTACTGGCTCTCTGGTAGGTACTGGGTAGTGTGAGATAAAGTGAATGATGTGGATGTGTACAGTATACCTCTGGCAATGAAGTACCTGTAGATACGTTCACGAAATCCATTTCGTTCTCGGGAACTTTACTGTCATAGGTAGATTTAACAATGAGTTAAAGGGAATAAGTTCCAATCCTTCATTAGTCTGTATTTTACTAATGTCAAAATTACTTCAGTGTAATAAACAATGAAAATAATACATAGCACATCATAAAATAAAATAGCATATATCTTATGTACAAAAAGTTGCTACTTCCACCCTTAAACCATCCTATGGGATGACGCAAAGAATGGGCAAGTTCAGCGAGCTATCTGACTTCACAGACGCACTGTTCATGTCGTGACGTCACATTGTGGAGTGCATAACGCACCCATATATACATTCACCTCCCACACTCATTCCCTTCATTTTAATTTTTCTTTTTTATAGTTTTATTTTATATTTCTTTTATTTTTAAGTCACATTAGAGTACTGAAATGATTTTCCCACAACTTTTACAGTTTCATTACATGAATCAGTGGCAACATGCATAGCCATTTCAAGGCCACAGCTGCCTGGTGATGTGTAATGCAGGTTTGTCTTTGAAAAAGTTGAAATCTGTGTAAACTAAAATCACTAGAGAAAAGTACAGTGGTCCCTCGGTTAACAAACGCCTCGGTTAACAAAATTTCGGTTAATGAATTACCTTCCATAAGAATCTTCAATTCGGTTAATGAACAAAAATTTTATTAACGAAATCCTTACGAAAATCATGTTTTGTTGTGAGGGTCAGCTGATGGCCCAGTCTGCCAATTCAGTAATCTGTTCTATGTTTAAATTCGTTTCCAATTGAGTAAATATCAATAAAGTTGAGCTATTTCATATTTTTTAATGTTTTATATTAAAATTATTATTCATTTTAACATTTATTTAACATATTGACAATATAATATGCAGTCAGGGCTGTCGGAATTTCCGACTCTTGTTTATCGAACACGCTGATTGGTTCAAATCCGGTACTTCGTCTGATAATCAGTAAATTGATGACGTAGTCGGTAAGCCGTGACGTCACTACTCCGACAGTCGGTAAATTACCGACTTTAGGAAATATGCTTTTTCATGGCTAAAATACCATATAGAATACACATAAATAAATTTTAGATGTATTTAATTACCTTACCTACATTTTACTAGCGATATTTTAGCAGAATAATATTCTGCTGAGTCACACATGAAGCGATATCGAGAGTCGAGACAAGGAAGCCAACGGTCTGTTCCAATGTGATCTTATATAACACTCTGAATGGTGTATAATGCAGTGTTTATTATTCAGAAATTTATAAAACTAATGACAGGAACAATGAAATTCACTGAGTATGAGGACTACTCTAATATAATTACTGTATCTGGGATCTTCGTTACCCCTCACCAGACATTATATTATAGAAAATACAGTAGTAATATTACGTCATGGACTCGCAACCAATCACAACGCGAGCAGTTGAACCAATCAGCGCGTTCGGTAAACAAGATTCGGAAATTACGACAGCCCTGCATGCAGTACAGGTTCAGTCTGGCTTTGCTTACTGTCGAGAGAGCAGCCATTTTGTTGGTGTCTTGAATATTTTTGCATTTTTCATTGAAATTATTGGTCATTCTGAACTTTAGTTAGCATATTGATAATATATAGCACAGTGCAGTGTTGATTTAAAGAAAATAATCTTGAATTACACCTAGTGAAGTTAAAATTTTATTGGTGAAATGAGGCATCAAGCTTGGGTCCACTGAAAGGTGATTTCTCCTCCATACCACTTCCTTCTCTTCTCCCTTCTCCTCCACCCCACTTCTAATTCCCATCATCATCATCAACCAGGAGCCTTCTACATACACACCTCAAAGTAAGTGTACTTTACTTCTTTTTTTTTTTTTTACTTTGTATGTACTTTTCTGGGAGCTGGAACCAATTTCCCAATATCCCATTGAAACAATGGATTCGGTTCACGAAATTTTTGGTTAACGAACGACCTTCTGGAACGAATTGTGT